GAGAGTTCAGGGGGTTCAGGTAGTTTACGGGTTGGAGGTTTGGGGGGGGTTGGTGTTTGGGGGATGAGGGTTAGAGGGTTACTGGTTTTGGGGGGATTGGGGGTTAGGCTTGTGCATGTCCTATCTGATATGTTTGCTGGCATGTTCCTCCATGTTCACACATGGCATTCGCGGTACTTAATGTTTTCCAGGCCCTGGTTGGAGAGAGGGCATGTTACCAGTCTGTCTGTTGCTATGGCACTCAGATCTTTTACCTTGGAACCAAGGTAATGCTGAGCAGACCCCCATCCTGTCTGCATTGCTGAAAAGCACCTCTGACCAGCACTTCATAGTCAGTCTCTTGTCTAACCTGATGATGTTTCTGCCCCTCAGTCTGTACACATGATGACACTGAGAAACTGGCGAGAGGTGGGTGACCTTTGTCTGTCTGTCTAATGGTTCAAAAGCCCACATGAATGACAACAGCAACTTCTGTGCTACTGGCTCTCCTGGCAGAGGGTGGATTACCTGCTACAGCAGGAGAAGTTTATGGAGGCGCTCTCCCTGGCATGGTCGTTCCATGAGGGCACTGCCAAAGCCGTCGTGGGTATGAATCCATTCCCTGTCTGCCGTGTGCAGATTCTGAGTCTGTGGGTGAAAATCCCTCCCTCTTCTGTTGAGTGGTTTATACAATGATATATTTCTTGCCATTTTCAGGATTATTTGGAGATTCCTCTAAGAAGAAGAGTGTGGTGGCTGACAAGGTTTTTTATGACATCATCTTTATGTTTTGAAATTTTTAGCTGTTCAGCAGAAGCAGGTGCTGTTTTTAGTCGTTCACTTATGTATTTTCCCAATAAGATGGTGGAGATACTTCTGCAGTATGCAGAGCATTCCTTGAAGAGGTGTCCTGAACAGGGCAAGATCCAGGTGATGGAGCAGCACTTCCAGGTACCACGAGTCCGCTGCAGTCAATACATTGGAAATTCTTTGATCCTTTCTTATTCTTTTGCTTTCCTTATTATCCGAGTGCTTAAAGATTCTAAAAGCACATGTCATATCAGTTTCGGTAAGATGAAGCTGTATTCGACTCGTTGATTCGTCAGCCTGGTGCTCTGGGCTTATACTGATCAGGATGCCTGGTGTAGGCTTTGACAAAAGTGTATCTCTATCTTCTGTATTGTGTCTTCCTTTGAATAATGTTAATGGTGTACAGATGCATGCATATTTGGCTGTAGCGGTGCTTTTCTGTCCAATCACTGTGTCCATAGTGATTACGGTGTCCGTATGTCCTTTTTCTGTAAAGGACATGGTGCCTGTCATGGTGGAGTACTGTCTGTTGCTACAGAGAAGGTAAGTATGATTGGCATGAAATGAGATTTGATGAATGGATGGTAAAGTGGCTTCATGGTAAATTCTTGACCATGAGCTTCAGAGGGGAACTTCAGACCTGGGGAAGGCCACACAAACACCTGCTGGGCTCCCAGGTTGATAATGGAGGAAGGTTTTGCATGTGAAGTTCAGGAGCATTCTGGAGCATTCCATTTCACTTTTGACATTTCTTTCACTTGTGCTCCAGGGACTTACTCTTTGGCCAGATCTACGGCCGCCTGGCAGAGAACTCTGTGGCCAGGGGCATCTTCCTGGAGACCCTGGAGCCCTATATTTTAAGCGAGCGTATTGGCTGCCTGACCGCGCCTGTCATGCGGGATCTTCTGAGCCACTTCCAGGAGAATGGCATGATGGAGAGCGTGGAGAATTGCTTGGTGCACATGGACATCACCAGCTTGGATATCCAACAGGTTTATTTTATTGTGCTTTGGTCTTTAATCACATTGTTGTCAAGCTTCCGTGTATGACTGTAAAGAGTGATCCATGATTTCTAGGTTGTCCAGACTTGCTGGGAGAACCAGCTTTATGATGCCATGATCTACGTCTTCAACAGTGGGATGAATGATTACATCAGTCCTATGGAGGTAAGAGGTAGAACCAGGGCATGTCGGACAAGCTGCCTGACCCAAGCATTATTAACCCCCTGGGGTCGGTGATCCCGCCGGCGGGATCTGACAGAATTCTCGCGAG